TGATTAAAATTTTGTTGGAAATTACTCCTTTGAGGATAAATCATTTGTCTATTAAAAGGTTGAAAAGTTGGTCTTGGAAATACATTTGATCTCATTGGAAATTGGTTAGAATTTGGTCTGTTATTAAATGATTGATTATTAGGTCTAAATAAATTTTGTTGAGAATTATTTTTAAAATTATTATAAGGTGAATATAAAGGTTTTTGGCTATTTTGTTGAAATGGATTATTCTGAAAAGGATTATTCAGAAAAGGATTATTCTGAAAAGGATTATTATTCTGTAATTTTGGGAAAGAGAGATTGGAATTATTATTTTGGAAATTAGTTGGTTTACTGAAAGGATTATCTACAGGTGTAAATCTTTGATTCAGTTGAAAAGTTTGATTGTTATTTACCAAATTTTGTTTATTTTGGCTATAAAGAAAATTTTCTTCTTCAATAACCAAACTCATAGCTTTTTCTAAAGTTTTTGGGTCTCTTAATCGAATATTATTTTGCAATTGACCACTTAAGCCTCTAATAAAAGTTTTTAATGCTAGTTCTTCATAATTAGCTATTTTTATAGTGTGTTCAGCTGGGTTTAGACTTAACATATTTAATTTTGAAAATACTAAGGAACGTGCGTCTTGACACCTCATTCCAAAATTATATGGAGTTTCGTTACGATTAGGTTTTAGGATAATCAAATCTTGAACAAGACAATCTAGATTTCGTTGGTCACCAAAGCTAAGATTTAATAAGTTTTTAATTTGATCCCATGAATTTAATTCATGAATACGTGAACCAATTAAACTCAATGCTCTGCCTGATAATCTTCCGATTATTGCACGCATTATAAAATTGTTATGTCCATCGTTTCCTTCTCTATAAAAGTTTGTTATTAAGCTTTGACACGTATCAATAAAAATATTTAAAGTGTGTGGATTGCCATCATACACAGGAATTGTATCAATATATAATCTTAAAAATGAATAATTTATTTGAGAGGGATTTTGAGATTGATTTTGAGATTGATTTGAAGTAGCCATTACTTGATCTAATATATTTTCTAGTTCAGAGTTAATAATTGAATCAGAAATAGTTCTATATCTGAGACTTTGTTCAAAACTATCTTTTTCAAAATGTCTAGAACTTAAATTTTGAAGCCTAAATTTATTAGTTATTTCTTCGATTTCACTATCTGAATCGGACATAAAATAAACTTAATCAAATCGATTTTTACGAATAAAAATTAAAAAATAAAAATAAAATGGAAAATGGATATATATGGAAAAAAGCAAAATACGAAAATAGTTTTAAAAATAAAAATAAAAGTAAATGCAAAATACGATATTAATAAGCAGAATAGAAAAATACGACTTACAGTAGAGAGATGTACAGGGTGAGTCTAGCTACGATGTTCATTGAGTGCGATGTTTTCGGGGATGATTTTCGTTGATGATTTCTGTTTTCGGGTGATGATTTCTGTTTTCGGGTGATGATTTCGGTTTTTCGGGTGGTTTTTCGTTTTCGTTGCTTCGTTTTTCGTTTCTTCTTAACCTAACTGGTGTTGGCTATGTTTGTCCTCGACCAGGTCCTTATTCTAAGCTGGTTTCGGCGATGCTTGTCCTTCTCGCCAGGTGTTGGACTTTCGGCGATGCTTGTCCTCTGTTCAACGGTGTCTTTGGGCTGTTTCTTGTTTTCACTGTCTCGATCCGTCCGTTTTTGGGTTTTACCAATTTAATCCGCGTTACGGGCACCAACTACGATTTTTGTTAGATGGCTTGGCAAATCCCACCGACTGCGCCAGTTTTCTTTTCGTGACCGGGACAATTACTTTTTAAAAAACAACACAGAGACTTGATCAGTTTATTAATATGTTTGGTTGAACAGTACTAACAAAAAGATGAGAAAATATAAATGTAACTTATATTTATAGGCTTCTACTGCTGAGGTAGCAGTGACGTCAAAGGCGGGTGACGTACCCAGCTACGTGGATATAATTAGTGAACTTGAAAAGAAAAAACAGGGACTTTTACTACAAAATTGTGTTTATTATAGTTTAAATTTCATTTGTAAACATGCAAAGCTAATTGTGAAAATAGAAAAATGTATTGTTTGGTAATTATCATTCAATATCTCTAAAAATTTTTGTAAAACTACTACATGATATTTTGCAAAATTATGCAAAAATATTAGATTTTTAAAAATCGCTTTATAATGATGTATATTTCAGCATCTTTATCCAATTTTTTGTAAATTTACTATTGGTTTCAGTGTGGGTAAAACGGCAGTTTTGTTCAGTTGTTCGGTTCTCTAGACTGTCTTCAGTGTTAATTCAGTTCAAGTAAAACGGTCCTTTACGTGATATGTTTTAACTCAATAAAAAAAACGTAAGGTAAAGTAAGGTAAAACGTAAGGTAAACCCCTTATTCAAGGGTAAAACGTTATGTCTATACGGGGCTTTAAACAGTAAAAAACGTTCCTTTAAGCAGAACTGTTTCAAAAAGACTTAAAATCTTAAGTCAATTTCAAAATTTCATAAAATGTAAATTTTTTACTTAAATCGTTTTCTTTCAAGTCAAGTCATTTTCGTAAAGACTTAAATCAATGTAATGTAATTTAAGTCGTATATATGACTTAAATTGCATTAAATTGATCTAAGTCTATATTTTTTATTTAAATCATGATGATCGGCGAGTTAAGTTGGCAAATGTTTCTTTTATCCTTACTAATATCACAGAATATCTAGCTCGATGTTCTGTGCTAATATTATAAACACGAAAGATTGTTTAGATGTATCTGCTAGACTCATATATGCCGAATTCGCCCATTGAGCGAAATAAATACATCCACAAAGTTGCACGAAAGAGTTTTGATTGCACTGGTTTCAACTTCTATGTGGAGGGGGTTAATCTTCTGTTGTTATATTATATAAAAAAAATTAACCCCATCCGCAAAGAAGTTATATAAAGACTATTTATAACCACCAATATATATTCTGTGCTAATATTATAAACACGAAAGATTGTTTAGATGTATGTGCTAGACTCATATGCCGAATTCGCCCATTGAGCGAAATAAATACATCCACAAAGTTGCACGAAAGAGTTTTGATTGCATTGGTTTCAACTTCTATGTGGAGGGGGTTAATCTTCTGTTGTTATATTATATAAAAAAAATTAACCCTATCCGCAATGAAGTTATATAAAGACTATTTATAACCACCAATATATAGTCTGTGCTAATATCATAAACACGTTTAGATGTATGTATTTCAGTACTTTGGCAGTTCGGTAGTTCGATACCTCGTTAATTAGGTGGTTCGTTTGTTCGGTATATTCTTAAAGGGACGTTTACTGCCAGTTCATGTTTTTTACCTATATTTTTATTTCAATCTAGATTAATAATATATATATCAATTAATAATTTCACTGTACTGAATAGTTTACTATAATCTAATTTAACGTATACATTAGCCACAGCAACGCGTATACAGGGTGGTCCGAATTGTATTCCGGAAACTTCGGCAGCATATTCTGCAGATAAAAATAGGTAAAAAAGTTCGTATAAATGTATGTCCCAAAATGCTTAGTTTCGGAGATACAGGGTGTAGAAATTTCATTTTTATTTCGATTTTTTCCAAATAATTTAAAGTAACGTCAATATTTAGATGAAAATTGGTGTTTGGAAGTTTTTTGACATGAGAAATTTGATTTTGATGTCAATATGACTCCTACTGTCAGAGGGCGCCACCTACATGTGTTTTAACTGTTTTGAAGCGTAATAACTTTTTGCCCGTACCTGTATAAAACTACCGAGGGAAAAAATGTACATCTCTGTGATTTTTTACTTAAAAAATATCTCTTTGTAAAAATCGCTACGAGCAACCGTTCTCAACATATTTAGAATGAAAATAGTCAATACATGCCATTATTGACGAAAAATAAACACGTCGAGTAGATAGTTATTTTACTGAAATAATAAATTTGGGAAATTTTTATTTTTTTTAAATTAATGATAAATTTTTCTGCAAAAAATGATGATAAAACAGTTTCTATTGAACTTTTGGCACAAAAACATTTTAAATTTATAATTTCAGTCTAATAACTATTTAGTCAACATGCACAATTTATGTCAGTGATGACAGGTATTGATAATTTCGATTCCAAATATCTCAAAAACCATTACTCGTAGCGATCTTTACCAAGAGACCTTTTTTACGTAAAAAGCGTTGTAAATGTATATTTTTTTACTCAGTAGTTTTATACAGGTACGGACAAAAAGTTATTACTCTTCAAACCAGTTAAAAAATATGTAGGTGGCGCCCTCTACTAGTAGGAGTCATATTGATATCAAAATCAAATTCCTCATGTCAAAAAACTCCCAGACACCAATTTTAATCCAAATATTGACGTTACTGCAGAAATTATTTGGAAAAAATCGAAATAAAAATGGAACTTCTACACCCTGTATCTCCGAAACTAAGCATTTTAGGACATACATTTACACGAACTTTTTTACCTATTTTTGTCTGCAGAATATGCTGCCGAAGTTTCCGGAATACAATTCGGACCACCCTGTATATCTGCTACATAGAAATAAATCGAAGAAGGGATGTTGGTTTGGTTTGGCTATCACTGTATAAATATTTGTACATTCTCCAAAAACTATTCTAATTCGTGAATTTAGTGTTACATGTTTTGAAAAGAAAATTTAGGCGAACAATTCTTCTCGGTAGGCGCGATTCTCACCATAACGTACCGTCACCGTCACGAAGTAAATGGGAGATGGACGTTGCATGGTACAAAGAAAACAAGGTATGATCGATAGCGGCTCCAATTGTCACGACTTACTGGCAGTGAGAATATGTTCATTGTTGGCAGTTTAAGAATATTTACCGTCATGGCTGATGGCTCGACACGTGACGGTGGCGGTACGGTATAGTGAGAATGGTGCCTTATCCATTTTTAATTATATAGGCATTTGACCCTATGTTTCTATATAAAAATATATTTCAGATTTAAAGCGGCATGGGATGACAGAGAAAATGAGCTTGGCGATTTAATGAAATTCGAAATTTTATATTTTCTGGCTGATGATACCGTTTGTGTCAAAAATGTGCAACAGGAAAATAGTGGTAGAGATCCTTATCCCCTGTTGCTAAGAAAGATCAAGTTACCAAAAGTAATCCTAATGCTAAAAAAAATATTAATTATGTACTACACACTTTTACACCCATAACGTCATATAATACAGTATAGTAAAAAATGTTCTTTACACAGTATACCTATAGGGCGATGGCGATGACAATTTCGATGTTCAACCAAACTGAACATTGGTATTAAAAATTAAAAAAAAAATGTTTATTTTAAATGACAATATCTTCAGAACTATTGTATCTATTGGAACAGAAGTTGGTAGTTTTATATTTTTGCAGTGTGTAATCTAGAAGGCTCAGAAAATTTCTGAAAACGACAAAAATATAAAACTACTAACTTACGTTGCAATCTTTAAATAAAAAGATTAAGGAAGAAGCATATTAAAATTCTTAGATCGAACGCAATGGGGTCCTAGAATGGCCGATTTATCAGTGCCGTTCTAATTTTATTCAAAACGTGTAAAAATATGATGTAGGGTAAACACGGGGTAGACTCAATAATTTGTTGTTTTATTTTACGTTGTCAATAAATGTTGGTAGTTATTAAAATTGTTATAATAGTATATTATTTAACGAGCATATAAGGGTGACTGTTATTCACGCGGATGAAGTTTATGACCAGGCGAGTGTCATAAATCATCAAAGTGAATAACAGCCATTATATGCGAGTAGAATACTATATTTTATCCAGGACTATCAAAAAAATTTAGATAATATTAATATAAGTTTTTATTTTTAATGTCAAAAAAATATTGAACGAGTATAACGAGTAAGTAACATGGAAACAAAACATTAAAAATTTCTTTAACTAGGTAGCTAACTAATTTAGCTTTAACTAATTAAAACAAAAATTATTTATTTACATTAATGGTAATGTTTGACGTTGTAATGTTGAAGCGGTGAATAATGAAACCATTATTCACTAGTGAATAATGAATATTATTATTATTTCACAAACTCATGTATAATAATCAAATTATAGACGAGTCGTGGATAAAAATATATAATTCTAATAAAAATAGATAAGTTATAATAATTATTTATTAACACAAACATGCTATACGCTACTGAAGCAGGTAAGTCAAAATGACGTGTCTCGATTCTTTGGCATCTAATCTTTGACAAGTAGGAAATAAAAGCAAAAATGCAAGAAAAAATATATAATTAGTTAATTTTAAGTGAATTTCATAAATGATCGGTTTACTACACGTATATTATACCGGGTGCGTTTCAAAAGTGGCTCATCCCTATAACTTTTTTATTTCTTCAGATAAAAAAACGAGATTTGGTATGTTAGTATATGACATAAATTAGGATTGATTGACGTATTCAATTGTTTTTGGTCACTTCCAGTTTCACCGGAAATGACGACAATTTTAAATTTTTAAATGGCACCCTCGGTATTTACATTATTCGATAGTTTTTTACTTTGTTCGATAGATTTTTACTTCATTCTGAATAGTATGACATATCATATGTCAACTTTTGGCATTCTCGCTTAATAAAAAATCGTATTTTAAAATTTAATCTAGAGTACCATGTCTATGTTAAAATCACTAATTCTTAATATATCAAGGTAAAAAGTTATAGGGGTGAGCCACTTTTGAGACGCACCTGGTATAGTCACTTACCAGTGCAAAGTTATTCCATCACGCTACACAACCAACTATTTTAGTCTTTTTCGATAAATCGCAATAGTGCTATTGTTAATTTAAGTTATGGCACAATTTCCTTCTAGATTTACTACTTTTAAACAACTATCATTAGTAGAATATATAATAATAATAAATATCATAAAATAAGCTCAATAAAGACAAATCCACAAAATTTCAAATCAAATTCAAATGTGTCAAGTGAATCGTCAAACTGAACTGTCAATGATCCCCACCCTAGAGCCCTTTCTCCGTCGACAATGCATGAATACATGGATAACACTATACTCCTTCCTTAATATTTTTATTCAAAGGTTGCAATAGATAAAATAGTTCTGAAGATACTATTTAAAATATTTTGATATTTTTATATAAATCGGTAAAGAATCAAGATATCGGGGCTTTCTTCACAGGTGTTTGTCAAACTTCAAATAACGCAACGTTTATCTCATTTAACCAATGTTGAGCATCGAAATTGTCACCCCTTTAAAATACTGGGTGCGTCTCAAAAATGGCTCACCCTATAACTTTTTTATTTTTTCAGATTATAGAACGACGTTTGGTATGTTAGTATATGACATAAATTAGGATTGATTGGCGTATTCAATTGTTTTCGGTCACTTCCTGTTTCACCGGAAATTACTACAACTTTTGATTTTTAAATGGCACCCTTGGCACCCTTTTTACTTTATTCGATAGAAAATAATACTCTGAATAGAATCACATATAATATGTCAAGTTCTGATATTTTCGCATATGGTTTATTTGAAATTATAACTTGCGGTTTGTAACGAAAATTTGAATTCTAAATACCAAGTATGTGGTATCAAATTATTCGTAAAAAAATAATTTTTCTAAATATGCTAATGAGCCACCATCGTTCCATTTGAAAAAAATGAGATATGATTAAAAATACGATTTGGGAATTTTTAACCGGCCAGGACTAGACACTAAAAACATCAGACGATCAAATCCATTTTTCCAATGCTCATTGATTAAGAATTAGTGTTTTTAACATAGCCATGGCACTTTAGATTGAAATTTAAAATACGATTTTTTATTAAGTGGGAATGTCAAAAGTTGACATATGATATGGCATTCTGTTCAGAATGTCATTTTCTATCGAATAAAGTAAAAAAAATACCGAGGGTGCCATTTAAAAATCAAAAGTTGTAGTCATTTTCGGTGAAAGAGGAAGTGACCAAAAACGATTGAATACGTCAATCAATCCTAATTTATGCCATATACTAACATACCAAATCTCGTTTTCTATCTAAAAAAATAAAAAAGTTATAGAGTTGTGCCGCTTTTGAGACGCACACGGTATACACCGTTCTTCCTGTCTTACTTTATATAATTTTCAATATGACCGAAAATAAAAACGGGGTCAGCTATGGCTATGGAATGAAGATCGCCGTCATTTTATAGGTAAAATTATATGGAGAATGTCATCGATCGTCATTTCCAAGCCAACTGGACACCGTTTTCGATCATACAGTAAAATAAAATAATAGTTTTTTAGTAAATGACTGTTAGTTATTTTCTTTTAGGCATAAACAATAAATGTAATTTCAATTATCTTTAAGTATCTAATATTTCACACATACTCAACGTTTTTAGATATATACAGATACACCAGTAACGTATCCGTCAATATACTTAGAAAAAACGGAAAATGAGGTGACCGAATATTATCAACCAAAAGATTTCTTAGTTGGAGATACGATTTTTGTTCTTGGACGAGATATGATGCTTTATGACTGTGATAAATTTACCAGAGATTACTTCAAGTAAGTTTAATAACACTAAAGAAACGCTAAATGTTTTATTGGTATATTTTAGAAACGCTCTCGGAATAGAACAAAAACCTGGTATTGTAGTTGATACCCCTAAAAAAGAATTACCTCCTCCGCCACCTCCTCCTCATGACGGCTTAGGTAGTTTGCAGGATTCTCTTCAAAACACTCTAACGTTTATGCCTAAACGTCCACGAAAAGATGTGATGAAACAAATTGTTAATGCCAATAAGTATTTAAGGTAAGTATTTGTAGTAGAAACTGGTATCTCAGCGGCAAGTGACTTTATTTTTTTAAATAAAAATTTATTGATCTAATGTATAATCAGACATGTATTGTCTTAAGGCGGATTCTCACTTATCAGTCTGACTGATTTAGTGAACGTGAGAACACATTTTTATTGCAAATAATCAGTATACCGGGTGTGCGTCTCGAAAGTGGCTCACCCCTAAAACTTTCTTATTCTTTCAGATAAAAAAACGAGGTTTGGTATGTTAGTATATCACATAAATTAGGATTGATTGACGTATTCAATTATTTTTGGTCACTTCCTGTTTCACCGGAAATAACTACCACTTTTGATTTTTAAATGGCACCCTCCGTATATTTCAACTTTATTCGTTAGAAAATGACACTCTGAATAGAATGACATATCATATGTCAACTTTTGACATTTTCTTAACTATTAGATTTTTACAAATTGTAAGCTTTGGGTTCGTTGAAGGACTACTTAGAGCTACAATTTAAAAATATTTTTACAAGATATAGTGTCCCAAATAAGTAAAAAATATTATAGTTGTGTTTTTTTAAATGGAATACCTTGTATAATATTACATTTTTAGTTTCTACTAAGTACTACTACTCTAATCTTACCGTTTTAGAAAATTTACGTTTTTGTGAAAATATAGTAAAAAAATAAAGGTAAATTTGATTAAGGTTTATCACACTTAAACCTTACCGTTTTTGAAATATTTTCAATTTTATGAAATTGCAGTAAAATTTTAAGGCTTCATTTCTCCAAGGGTATCAAAGTTTTTAATACTAAATATTTACTGAAGATTATTTATTTACTGATCAGATATTATGTAGCAATAATAAAATTTTTACTACTTTATACAGAGTGTCCAAAAAATTATATTAAATAATTACTAGCTTTAAACGACAATAACTTGTTTAATTTAAATGGAACACCCTGTATATTTTAGGAGAATTAGATGTACAATTTAATTGTCTATCAAATTATATTATACTATTTTTTACCTACCTCTTCAAGTTTTCGTAGAAAATGCATTTTCTCATTTATCACTATACCTATGGAATATTGACATTTCAGATTTTTTTAAAGCAACATATATGTACAAAATATACAGGTGGTAAATATTGCAAGCCCATTGGTATACAAAAAAAACTATTTATATTTTTGTAAAAGAGTATACCAATTAAATATACTACCATTAGAATTTAGAATTTAGAATGAGTGGGAGGGGGGTTAATCACTGCGACCTTACAGATCCATTGTGTCCCAGTCATAACTCATCATACAGTCCCAGGGCTTTGACAAAAGCCAGTATCTGGGACGGTTTTATAGAGGGTAGTTCTCCATCTCCAATATCAGTCGTACCAAAATTCATGGCACGAATGGTTGTCGTCTCGGCGCACTCAGTGATGAGGTGTACTGGTGTTTCCCCATCTTCCCCACAGAATCTGCATTCGCCGTTTCTTCTTAGTTTCAATCTACTGAGGTGTTCATTGAGGAGACAGTGTCCTGTTAAAAACCCCTGACAATCCGAAGATTGTTCTTACTCAGACCCAGGAAGATCTGTAATTTTTCTTGATCATAAGCCCTCAGAAACTTCTTCGAGTGTCTTAGACCATTGCAAGATTTCCATTCCAGGTTGCGGATGGAATCTTCCAAGTTCTTGAGTTCCGCCTTGAGTTGGTTACCACTTGGAAAGCAGAACGGTTCTGGTCCAGTTAGTGGAGTGTTAGCTCCTTTCCTAGCTAGATTATTTGCTTTTTCATTGCCTTCTATCCCTTGGTGAGCAGGCACCCAGAGTAGGAGGACTTTGTTTTCTTTGCCTAATTTATTCAGCTTCTCTATGCATTCTTTGACCAATTTCGAATTGATCGATACTGAGTTGATCGCTTTTAACGCTGCTTGACTATCAGACAAGATGGCTGTTTCTTGTTTCCGATAGTTGCTATCTAAGATAAGTTGTACGCATCTTTCGATAGCGTAGATTTCTGCCTGTAGGATACTAGGGTAAGTGCCCATTGGTTCGGAGTATTTAGCTCTCGGTCCAAACACTCCGATCCCTGTTCCCGTATTGGTTTTGGAAGCATCAGTATACCAAGTTATGGTATGGTCTTTTAACTGCTGGGCAAGCGTTTCGCTCTTCCAATCCTTTTTATTGCTCAATACTACATTGAGATGTTTCTCAAAGTTGTACGTTCTTGGCATGTCGTCCACTGGGAGTTGCAGGAGTGGTATTTCCTTTTTGAGGGTGTTCCAAGCCCCTCATCTGACAATTCTCCCAGTACTAATTCCGTTAGTGACCATTCTAATCATTGTTGCATTGGCATATCTACCAATGACAATGTGCAGTGGTGTTAGATCTAGAATAACCTCTACTGCTGCTGTTGGACAGGTTCTCATGGCTCCTGTGATGCAAACGCATGCTAGTCTCTGGACTTTGCATAGGTTTAGCCTTGCCGTCCGTTGCTCTAGTTTTGTGTACCAGGCAACTGTTCCATAAGTAATCATGGCTCTTACTATCATGGTATACATCCAGCGCAAAATGTTAGGGGAGCAGCCCCATCTATTTCCGGCCAGTCTTCTGCATATCATGAGAGCCTTTATGGCGTTGCTGGTAGTGTTCTTAATATGCCTGTTCCACAGGAGTTTACTGTCCAGGGTTATTCCCAGGTATTTAACTTCCTGTGTTGGCAGTATTTCCTTTCCATCTAGTTGGATTCTTTTCAAGTTTTTCAGACTTCGCTTTCTGGCGAATGGCACTATCGCGGTTTTGTCTGAGTTGATACTCAGCCCGACAGTTCTACACCATCTCTCAGTGATACTGTGACAAAACTTTCCAGATTTGTCCGTTAACATGGTAGTGTGGCCTTTATATAATTATAATTAAAATAATTTATTGAGCGGTAGGCAGAACTTGGATAATGAGAACACCGACTTTTCAGAGCGTAAATTTAGTTTATCGTTTACATATAAAAACAAAATATAACCAGCTAAAGATCGAAATTAAGGCATCGCACTTTTATGGTAAGGGCTCTTTCTAAATTCAGTTACTATAAACTCTATTGCCACTTACCTTATTACGTCAACATCCGTCAGCAATACATCAACAACAAGAACCTGTCGAAGATTTCATTGATCCCCTTGTAGATCTACCTCTTCGGTCTTGGACTCATACTTTGGATCGAACCACTCGACCGGTTATCACAGTGTTCTTTTAAATAACTTAATATTTTAGTGATTAGGTGAAATAAAGAAATAAAATGCCGATTTTTCACAACACCTAACTATATTTAATATAAAGAAATAAATAAATAAAAAAATAAAGAAAAAGATTTAACAACAAAACATTTATAATTAATGAAAAAGAAAGAAATTGAATCAAAAATAATTAATGACAATTAGAGAATTGAAATTCAAACTCAGAGATAATAAAGTTAAAAAAAAATACAAAATATTCTTCTTATTAGTCCAATTTAAATTATCTACAATTAGCATACACTTTCAAATCTCTCTTGGAATTATCGTTGGCAGAAAATTAATATGTTAAAAAAATATTCACTGAACAATTAAATTTAAATTAGAATTTAATCAAAAGAACAATTGCAAAATAATCACTTATGCAATGACATCTAAATTTGACTAAAGCCTTTAGAACAAACAGAAAGTCTTAGAGAAAATCCAAAGAAAAGTATTAGAGAAAATCCAAAAACAACAATTAAAATACTTTAAGCATGAATAGTTTAGAATTTCCCAACTTGAGAATTTATTTGAGACAATCTTTAGATAGAGAACTTACTAAAACAATTAAAAAGACCACTGGATAATATAAGATCTACACGGAGTAAATTCGACCGTCTAATTTAAAAGTCAGTACCGAACTAATTTTGAAGATGAAAATACTGATGCTGGTACTATCTCGGAAAGGCGTTACTACATCTTCGGCACGCCCCTGTTTGAGGAACCTTCGAATACCCATCCAAATGCATATTTTGCACCTTTTTAATTGGCCGAAGGGTTCCTTCCCCGAAAGATCCCTAGACTTCTTTCACCCCTGTTTCTGGTCCTTCCCGAGAGGGCATCAGCATGTCCTATTTATTATTTATTGTAATTTCCAAACCCTTCCGTGTAAATCTTACTCTTTTACCCATTTGCTGAATAACATTCATAATCTACTTTAACTAATACAAATGATACCGAATCATAAAATTACCTTAAAAAAACCGCCTAGAAATGAAATCTTTATTTCTTCATTCATTTGTCTATTTCTATTTAACTCTAGGAACGGAAAAAAAGATAATCCTATTTCTATCATTTTCAGACATTCATCTCCTGAACATATTTGGATTCTGATTTTAAAACATATATTTAATACTTTTAATTTTCAATTTAAAACCTCTAGCGAGGGGATGATTTAATTTTACTTATTTCGTTAAGCATGCCTACGTGCTTTTTCTGCGTTGTTTATTTTGAGATATCCCTAGGGTACACACACAACTGGTACCACTCTGTCAAATAGAGTTTTGATAATAAGGGATGAATGTTTATTCTACTTTACCCTCGTTTATGTGACTTTAAATTATTTAGAAGATTGTATTATTTGCTTAGTTAGTTTCTCAGGATATATGCGTACTTTTAGAGAGTTTATGTGTCTTGAATATCATTAGATTATTTGTTTAGGCCTTTTAAAATTCGTTTGCCTATGTCAACCGATAACTTCGTAAACTGAAATGGTCCCATCTTGGAATAACAAACCAAAAGATAAAATTTTACCAAGCTTGATATTATTCTATTACATTTTGCCTTCCCCTTAAAGAAGTGGAGCTATTGTTTCCATTAAAAAAATTAATTAAAAAAAAATAAAAACTAATATTGAAAAGAGACAAACTATAAAATGTTTAAATAATAAAGATCGATCAACGCAGAATAGCTGAAACAATAGGTTCACGATATGCTCTGTCTGTTACAAACTACTATTCCTTAACTAAACTG